GTAATTTCAACTCCTCGTTTGCTCGAGGCTTCCTGAAACAGCACCCACTGCGAGGAGGGCTCATAAAGCACTTTAAAAGGTAGTTACAGAAAATAAAATGCATAAATGTCATAGCAAGCACACCAAGATTGCTACTTAATCTGAGATCACTCCTGGCACTAAAATTTTACAAATACTTTCAAACCTCTGCGCGTGGCAGGTGATGGTTAAGGTTTTTCCTACTCATCACTGCAGCGAGTGAGAGGGTTAAGGTTGTTTTGTTAAGAGATTAACACATTTTGGTCCTGCTAAGGACAGGCTGCAGTGGTTTCACCCCCCAGCCTTCCCTGGGGCACAGGGTGCCCAGAATGGCTGTGGGTGCCCCTGGATCCCTGGAAGTGTCCAAGGCCAGGATGGAGCAACCTGGGCTAGTGGAAGATATTCCTGCCCATGGCAGGGGGTGAAAAACAATGATCTTTAAGGTCCCTTCCCACCCAAACCACTCTGGGCTTCTGAATCAGAGCAGAGTTTGATCCCTGTCCTGCCAGAGGTACCACCTTTCAGGATTAAAACAGGACTTAGAAGAGATCACACTTTTCATTACCAAGAATCAAAGAGATATTATTGATAAAGTGGAGGGAACCTCAGCTTGGGTTTCTTTTCTCATTTTCCTGGGCTGGAGAAGATCCCTGAGCTCCTCAAATGCAATCCCTAACCCGTGGTTGCTGAGCTCACCACTAACCAACATCCCCAGGTGCCACATCTGCACATCTTTTAAATCCCCACCACTGCCCTGGGCACCCTTTGGGGAAGAATTATTCCCTAATATCCAACCTGAATCTCTCCTGGCACAGCTTGGAGCCATCTCCTCCTGCCCTATTGCTGGTTACCTGAGAGCAGACTCAGACCCCCTCCCCTTCCCTGGCCTCAATATTTAATTTGAATAATCAAATAAAATCATAATATACAATAATAATATAATAACAATATAAAATAAATTAATAGTTATGTTAAATAACGGGTCTTGAAGGCAAATTTGGAACCTCACCTTGAAACTGGATTTTGCAAATGGAAATGCTGAAGAATCATTTTTTTTAGTGCCCAATCTTGGTTGCCTTTAATATTGCACATTAATTACACGTGGGTTAATAGAGTAATTCTTTTATTTATAATTAAAGTCACTGTTGGGGATGCAATAGTGAAAGATTGCATAAATAACTTCAGCAAGGCAATGAGAAAATAAGTGAAAAAAAACCCCAGCTCAAAAGATAGTGATGAAGAGTGAAGAATCAGGAGTTTGGGGGTGGTTTTTTTTTTCAGATTTGACTATTTCATCTGAAATAACCCCTCCTGAGTAGTGGGGTAGAGAGAAAAGAAGATCAATTTTAAATTCTTCTTTTTTTTAAATGGAGAGCCAGCTTGTCTCAAAATCCCCAATGGCTGAAACAAATGGTTCTCCAAGTGAATGGGAGCCCAATCATGGACCACAGGTAGTAAATGCAATGCTGTGTTTCGATGATTTTATGGATAAGGAGCTCATTTGTGTGCCATTTCCAATAGGAGTTTTATGACTAACACTAATAAATAGGGGAAAATACGCTCTGATTTTTAACAAAATGCAGTTTCCTATCACAGCAGTTTGTCTCAGTTAAAGCAGTGCCTTCTATCTGGGGACAAGGTTAGGGCCAAGCTTGAAAAGCCAGCAAAGATGTATTAATTCTGCTCCCCCCTGCACAGATACACACTGTACTCTTTAATTGCTCACCACCACCATCATTCCTTTGCATAAAGCTAATTGGCAATAAACTTTCCCTGATAGTAAGATTAAAAAGGACTAAAAAAAAAATATTAAATAAAATAAAAAGAAAGAGGACAAAGCTCCCGGTTGTTTTCCCTGTGCTTTTGCAGGAGTCACCTTTCCCCAGCAGCCACCAAGCCACGATTAGCATACGACAGATCACAGCGTGGCACCTCCTGTTTTAATTTCCTCCCTGGGAAGAAAGTTTCTGCCCTTTCCTTTACCTCCAAGTCGGCCTCTTAGGTTGCATAAATCAATACAGCAGCATTTGCTTTGACAGGGCTAAGCCAGTTTGCCACAATTGATGATACAAGCCCCTGTCTGCACACCCAATTAAATATTAATTAAACACCAGCAAACAAACAGAATCTCTTGCCAACAGAGGATGGGAAAACCTCTCTGGTGTTAACTATTGCCACTGTCAGGCAGGACCTTACAGATGACGCTCTGGAGCTCGCAAGGAGGCAACTGTGGTGGAGGGAGTGAAGCCAAAATTGCTGTGCAAAGCTCTCAAAACACTCTCGTGCTCAGAGGTTTGAGTCCCACGAGGGGGTATCAACGTCCTGCCTCCTCACTGAGGTCACACTTGTGTCCTGGTTCATCCCAGGCCACGGAGGAGGTGGATTTATCATGTTTTACAGCGGGGATGGGCTCCCAAGTGTCTCTGGAGAGACAGACAAGACCACAGGGAATTGTACCTTGCCTGCAGTTATTTCAAGATCTAGAGATAATTCTGGGTATAATCCAGGTATAACTCTGTAGGGTTATAACATGGGAGAGAAAGGTTCTGGGACCAAAAAGCTCTCAAATCAACCTTTTAAAAGCAAAATTTCCTCGAGAGGGAAAACCGGGAGGAGGATAACCAAAGGATTATAAAAATCCTCTTTCCTACCTGCTTGCTAACTCCACAGACCTGAGTGGATGTCAGCCCATAATGAGCTTAATGTCCCAGCTAAAATCATCCCAATTATTTGCAGTTCACCACCAACGTGGGCAATTTACAGCAGGAAGTCTTGAGCACCTCCTTGTCACCCATTCAGTCACAAGGGTCATAAATTCAGAATGATGGATCACCCCTTCCTTTTGCTGAGAAAGGGAACTGACTTTTTTTTTCCCCCTCAGGCTCAAGGTTAAAATGTTCAAATATCTGTTTGCAAACCTCCCTGGGACACATTCAGAGGGCATTTTGCAAAGGCAGCAGGAGGTGAGCAGAGCTTGCACCACTGAGATTAAAACACGTGAGAGAGGATTTATTATTAGATAGTTGTCTTCAGATTAAAAGTAGCAATCAGTTTAGCATATCTGTGTTCAGATTTCCTTTCTTGCAGATTACCAATTGCACAATCTGCATTTTTTGCACGTGTTTCATTACTGACTGGTGCAACCAATGGTTTGGAAGTTTAGGTGCTCACCTGGGTCTAGATTTGATGTCCCCCTCCTCAGGTCAGCATTCCCACTTGCACCCAAAAACTGCTGACAGAGTTTTGTTCCTAAAATAGATTTGCAGCCATGCCTTGGTGCCAGTTGTGCCTTTAGATGAAGAAGGACCCAGATCTGGGCCCTCGGGAGACACAAACGGGGAGAGAGAGGTTTCTCTCTGCACGGTTTATGTTAACGGTGTGACTGCCAACATTGCCCTTCTGCTCTATATTTATTTATAGATTCACATACAAGTGTGGAAATACATTTTCCACAGGTTTTATTCCTGTGATTCCTAGAAAGCAGTAGGCCCAGCTGCCCAGAATTTAAGATTGTAAAGGTCTTACTCTTGCACTGGTGGGAAGGAGATTGTTTTCTTTACAATCCTCTTAAAAAGAGATCTCATTTCTGCCACAGAACACCTAGGATCAACAAACCCTTTCCAGTGCAAAACTCACAGATATTTGGCTTATTTTCTTCTGGAATTAAGGATTCCTGATGGAATTGGGGTGGTTTGCTCAGCCTGGAGAAGAGAAGGCTTTAGGGAGACCTTGTTGTGGTCTTCCTAAGGAGCTGATAAAAAGAGGGAGAGTGGCTTTTTACACAGGCAGAGGAGGGACAGTTTTAACCTGGAAGTGGAGAGACTTAGACTAGATATTGGGAAGAAATTCCTCCCCGTGAGGGTGGTGAGGCCCTGGGATGGACAGAGAGGATGGACATTCCTGTGGGTCAAGGGACCTGCCCTGATCTCAGGACTCCCTCCTGCTTAACCCCAGATTTCACAAGGTGTGTCCATGCTGTGCTTCATGAGCACGTGAAGTGTTTAATTTATGTTGTTAAACGTATATCTCAGCTGACATGAGACAACAAACCACATTTTCCCTCCAGGTTGTCGTGTCCCCTGCAGACACTCACCTTGCAGGCTGGCAACAAGCAACATTCACCCCTTCAGAGGGAGTTCTCAAACCACCTCCTTAACCACAGCCCCGATCTCCAGCCTGCCTTTTTAAAAGCTGGTGCCTCAGAGTTATTTTCCACTGTTGATTATGTATTCTGTGCCAGCAGCACATAAAGCTCTAAAGCTCATCATTGTCAGTAAAAGTCTCATGCATGTAAACAAGGACTGAACTTGCCTGTTATTTAAGAACAGAGCTCAAGTCTGCTTTTTCGATCCAAGCCTTGCTGCTCTTACAATTTCTGAAGGTTAAGACAAGTCTGTTCTTAAACAAACAAAAAAAAAAAAGAGGTGACTCGCACAAAATCAAATTCTGATTGCAGTCTGGCCTCCAAATCAGCAATTTAATTCAGCTGTTATTTTGTAAATGTCCTACTCGTGCCACAACACACAGTGATGTCCTTGCATAATAAAGAGCAGGGCATTTAAAAAGGAAAACGGTAAAGTGAAAAAGTAAATTAAAAAAAAAAAGAAAAAAAAAAAGAAAAAAAAGAAACAAAATCCAAACAAACAAAACAAAAACCACAGGTAACACCACAGCATTTCTGCTGCTGCTGCCCTCCTCCTTTCCTTGCAGCTGAAATCCATCCATCTGAGGGTCACCCTTGGACCATTAAAAGTTGCCACCACTGATAAAGAACGCAGAAAGGCCAAATCCAGCTGTACTTGACACCAAAACAAACTGCAGGGCGGTCTCCTCTGTCCTCACCGCATCCACACCTGAGTGAAGAGTTATCCTCCCAACTTCAAGGAGTGGAAAATGACAAATATTTTGGAAAATGACAAATATTTATCATGCCTGGGGGTGGTTTAAAAAGTAAAGGATGGAAAAAATCAGTCTCAAATTACCTCCAATCACACTGTGGGGAACACAGGAAGAGAATTCCAGGTTGGACTTCACTGGCACTCGGAGATCGGATCAGGCTCTCGGACGCTTTAAAGATGGAATTTAATCTAGAAAGACAGACATGTATTTCCCTATTAGTTCCAAACTCAATAACTAAACCCAGCTCCTATAAAAAATCTTGAATCCCAGCTGTAGCCTGCACAGAGCAGCAGAACTGAAAGCACCCCAACACACCCCTCAGGAATAAAACAGGGAATGATTATTTAAGTTTCAAGATCCAGTGGTATCAGATGATATCTCTGAAGCTGTGTTGGGGTTTCAGGGTGAGGTTTTGGTAGGGGAGGAGGCTACAGGGGTGGCTGTGAAGCTTCTCCCGTGGCCACTGGAGCCAGTTCCAGGCTGGACCCACCACTGCCAAGGCCAAGCCCAGCAGGGCAGCTGTGCCCCTGTGATAATTCAAATTATTAAACAGATTGACACCATTATTAAATTAGATTAAATCCATAGATAAAGCATGTTATTGTCTTAATAAATACTTTACACTTCTGTAGCAGTTCTCACAGCTGTGCCAGACCTGGGAGTCCTTCAGTCTTGCAGCACCGATGGGATGGTTTTCCAGCCAATATATTCACAGGGTCAGTGGCTGTGGGGTTTAAAAGGAAGAAGAAAAAAAAAAAAGGTAAAAAAAAAAGGTCACCTCCATCTTTTCAGCATTAATCCATGACTGAGCACATGAGAAATGGCTCGGTCATGGAGGTTAAAAGTAGATGTGTGCAGATGAACTGCAAGCAAACTTCCCAGTGCAGCACTAATTACAGCAGGCGTGTGAACAGCTAATAAAAAAAGGGCTTTTTTTATGTCTTTGTTATAAAATATCTCCATGCCATAATTAGGAGTCTACTCAGCAAGTGGAGGAGCAGAGACATTGCTTTGCCCCAGTAGAGCTACTGACATTGCCTCACCAGCTTCTTCCTTGCTGGCAAATCAGCCAGGAGGAAATGTAAAGGATATTTAAATTAAAATACCTAGTGAGGGAATGGGAAGAAACAAGAATATCTGATTTTTTATTTTTTTAGCTTTTTAATTTTTTTGCTGAGGGTTTATTCAGAGACACAAAGGCTGACAAACCTTAAACCACAAAGTTTAAGTACTTTAAGTGGTTGCTTTTGCCTCTATGAAGCGTAGCTCTGTAGGCAGTTGCCCACAGTAGGAACTCATCTTAGAATTAAGAGCAAATTTAAGTACTTTTTTTAACCTAAAATGTCATTTTTTAGGCATTTAGACAAATTCCTATGTTTGGGGGTCAATCATTTTTAATGGCAGTAAATATGTGACATTTTATATTGCAACCTAATTCAAAAATTCTACATATTTCAAGACTGTTCATGATATTTTGCCCAAAACCACTTGTATTGTAGAACATCGTGTTGGGAAGATTCCTTACAGATGTCAATGGGTATTTTAATAAAGCCTGTGATTTAATGAAGCATTTAGTCTCTTTTTCCATGAAAGAGTAATTGAAATGTTCATTCAAATTGGATTGGACAGATCCAAAACCTGAGTAATTGAATGCAAACAAAAGAAGGGGAGGAGGAGGACTCTGTCAAGTTGAAATCTTCTGCAGAAACAAGGGAGTTGTGGTTATCATTCCCATTCTTTCATATTTTCCTAAGAGTGAGAAACAGTTCTATTAAGAAAACTGGCAAATGGATCTATTTTGGGAAACATGGCTAACACCAGAGAGGCAAACAGGGGGGAGAAATGGGGAGGGGGAACACATCAAAAAGGCCTGATTTGGACACCTCTGAGGTTGTGGTAACACCTTCAGAAACACAGATGGTGGGAAATGATCTAAAACATTTGAATAAAGGAGAAAATGGGGAAGAAACAATCGGCTGGCAGTGATGGAAACCCAGTCAGAGAGAGCTGGAAAAGCAGGGTTGAGCACAAACACGTCCAGAGTAGCACATCCCCCCTCCTGCTCAGCAGAGGAACTGCTCCAGCAGGAACTCCTTTCTCCAAGAAACCTCCTGGAGTGAATTTCCAGGAGCACGAGGGAGGAATTCCAGCCAAGAGAAGATGGGAACACGTGGGAGATGGATGAGATGAGAGGTAGTGGGTAAAGGTGATCAGACACTTGAGTGCTTTGCAAAAGGGGCCTCAAGGACTAAAATACCTGTGGAAAGAGAGAAGAATTAGTTTACACCACCCTATGCATGTTTTTTTTTACATTAACCAACAGCTGAGCTTCCCTTAGTCCTTTATTCCAACTCGAGGTGGGGGTTATTACATGAAATGTTATCCCAGGAATGGAATGAACCTGGATCTCTGAAAGAAAACTGAGTGATTCATCAGGGGCAGCTGAACCGTGGCATTACTGGATAAAGAGGGGAAAAAATGAGCAGAGATTAATGGACTGAACAGCCATAAAACTTCCATGAAAGTCTTCTCAAGGAGTGCTGGAAGCTTAAAGGAGGATTGAAGAGGTGCTGGCAAGTGGATAGTCCTTTTGATGGCAGTTGGGCTTGCTTACATAATAAATCTGCTTCCCATCTACAAATTATGACTTGGTATTAAATAATTTGAAGCAGGAAATTCAAACATCTCCCCCCTATTTTTATGTATGTAACTGGCACCTCGATCAACAAATGTAATTGCATATTTTAAAGAACATTATAAATCACTCTCCTCTCCCTCTGCAGTTTTCAGAAGTATCACTTTCTCTCCTGATTTTTGAAGCTGACATGTTATTAGCATCATACATTATGTCTAAAACAATTGGAGGAAATAGAATTGATAAAACAGAAATAGAAAGCATCCAGAAATGAAAAAAAACTAACCCAATAGCATGCTCTGAAACATTCATCAAAGCACATTAGCAATAAATTTTAATCAGCAGCATGTCACTTCCCATTGAGGGAAAGCAGAGAGGCTGTGCTATTCCCACTTACTGACATAATATAATCAGCATTACAGAAAAATTGGTTATCAGTTGAACTTTCAGCTTAAATCAGAAGAAAGTAAGAGGATAAAGCAGAAGATGGGGAATATCAGTACAGAGGAACGTGTGCCCAAAAAGCAAATTGCACCAAGAAGGGGCAGCTACCAAAGAGGCACTAAAGATGTGGAGTGATGGTCCAGCCCTGTGGAGCCAGTGGAATTCTTTCCAGCTGGAAAAGGCTCCTGGAGTGTCCCTGAGGATGTTCCAGGAGCCAGGCAGGCAGCCAAGGTGCGGTTTGGAGTTAATTTACCTTTGCAGGGCTTCCTGCAAACGGGCACAGGCAGTGACCCAGGAGAGGTGAAACACCCTGGAGACCCCCCAGGCCAGCAGTAACCTTCTCACCTTGGCATCTACTGGGGAGCTGAGCCTTCAGCTGAAAACCCTCCCAAAGAGAGAGAGCTCTGTGATGCCACCGTGCCATTCACATCCAGACCTCCCAGCTGAAAGGGAAGCTGCAAATCAGGGTTACAAGAGAACCCTGCAGTAAAACCAGAAATGAATCTGCAGAATGCTGGGGGTTCATAACAGCACTGCAGGCAGAAAGGAGCTTCAGACAAAGGGTTACTGGGGACACCCTCCTGTTGAGTTACCAGGTGAAGAAAGGGCACCCTGGCTTTCCAAAATCCTTCTCAGTCTGGGTGCAGCTGGATCCAATCCCAATGCCATAATTGTCTAAAAGAGTCTATGGGTGTAATTTAAGCTTTTTGCTTAAAGGATTAAGGATGGAACCCCAAATATATTTATTTTTTTTATTATATTTATATAACATTATATTTCTATTTATATAATATTATATTAATATTTATTATTTATATTTGTATATAATTATTATATGAATAACATGAATTATTTATTTAAATTGATAATTATAATGATTAGACTCAAAGATCTTCATCAGAATCATTTACTACACAGCACAGGCAGCTCTAACTGTGAGTACAGTGCACTATTTATTGAAGCAATGATATTAAAGCCAGAAAAAACAATTATCAAGGAGAGATTGATGTCACTCACCCTTCCCAATGGACAAATGGGCAGATCTCTCTCTCACCCTCAGGAGGCTTTGCAAACAGGGAATTGTTGGAGCTCCCTCCACTCCAGGACAGGAAAGCAAAGGGTAGTTTGCCCTTTTTCCACCTAAAGCCAATATTTTAAGGATGATAACTGAGCAGAACAGACACTGCCAGCACAGATATTCTCAGCAGAAAGAAACCATCTTCCACAACTCCATTTTCTGCCGTTTGAGGAACAGAAACATTTCATTTTACAACTGGCCAAGTTTTGACTCCTCCAACCCGACTTTGAGAGTCAAAGGGTCTGAAGGCAAGAGATTTAGACCTTGGAGAAATGTTCATTATCTTTCACCTCAGCACTGCTGTGAGTTATTATCAGTCTGTCATTAAAGCATGTTCTGCCATAATCCAACTTTATGATACATGTAGAGAAGGTGCTGAATTTATATCTGTACAGTCAAGCCAAGCATCATGCAAGATCAAATATTCACATTTTAAAGTCCATTCTCTTATTGAATTCTTAGAGTATTCACACAGGAAAACACTCACTTTTTCAAAAATATAGAGCCCAAATTAATTACTTGATTAAAATTGTACACTCACATCAAAAATCAATTTATATGGTCCAGTACCTTACTGTCATTTAACAGCTTTGCTTTGTTTCCTGTGCTCTGAGGGGTAATGCTTTACTGATTGAAAGAAATTACCTGCTTTGGATCATGAAAGAGCCTCAACATTTAAATCCAGAGATGTGATGGAGAGCTCTGCATTTGTCTTTTGCTGAAAGGGTCAGAAACCCCTCTTCTCTGCCAGACCTCCTCATATACTCTTTGCACTGCTCCCTCTGTGTGCCCCACCCATACAGCTATAACCTTTAATTAATGGAAGAGCTTCCAAGAAAAGTTCCTAACAGCATTCTGAAAGCATCAATTAAAATCTCAAGTGTCCCTCCTTGCCTTGAATGTCTCCCCATATTTTTGAATCAAGTGATGACAGCGAGATCCAGAGTGATCCATCCTCACTGACTGCCACTCCCTGGCATTTGATTGCCTCGACACAGCAGATAAATTCCAACAGCCTCCCTCCCAGTCGAGGCACATGAGTGTGAAGAGCACAGGAATAATAAACCCAATTGCCTTGGAATGGCTCTGCACGTGGAAATGACTGCAGGTGATGCCTCTTTTTGTGCTGTTAACACAGGCAAGTGGGTTCCATCTTTGCACTGAGGCCTCTGTGGCTATAAAAGAATTAAAAATAATCTACACATACCTGGAAATAGAGCTCAATAGCAGGGCTAGGCATATAAATGCCAAATATATGTGTTATAAGCTGGTTAACCACGGGCTTCCCCTGAAAGGCAATTTAAATCAAGAGGAGCAGACTCGGTACAAAGGAGCCTTCAGACATCCCCACCTTCGTGTTCACAGCTTTGTCTTGCACAGTTTTGTCCTTGCCTAAAAAAAAAAAAACACATAACTGAAATGAATGTAAACCAAAACCGAGGACAAAAGGCCGAGGGGACGTGGAAACGTCTGCCAAGAGCAAAAAGCCAAAAAGAAGGGAGAAATAATGCAAAGCAAAAGAACTCCTTGACAGAATGGCCCCCAAATAAAGGTTAAGCAACAGTGAAAGGCTTTTATCTTCACCCTACAAGGAAATCAGCTCTAAAAGCCCTCTTGCAACAGAAAGTGCCAATCCCACTCCACATTAAACTGTCCCGTTTCGAAATTCTCTGCTCCCCAAGGAACTGATCCCAGAGAGGCAAACTCAGGTTATGGCCAATGCAAAAGTCAATGGATCTGCAAGGGGACATTCTCTTTTCATCAGGATAAATCAAAGAGATGGTTTCAAAGGGGGAAAAAGAAAAAAAAGATCCCACCTGCTGCATATGAAAAGACCTCATGCATATTTAAGTCTGTGCTGCATCACAGCTCACACTGTCCTGGGCCTGCCAGCTCTTCCCCGTGCTTGTCTTTGGAACAGCCACAATTCCTGCTGTATCTCAGTCTTTCCCTAGGCCCATGATTCAAAGCTAAAAGAGGAATCATCAGAAATTATTTATCAGCTTCTCAGCTGATGATGCTTTAGCTTCAACTAGTGCTTTTGGCCTCAAAATCAGCATTTTCGTGTGTTCAGAGGTGTGAGCACATCCCGTGGTTCCACAGACATCCCCATGGACAGGGGACCAGCCCACTTCACAGATCCCACCTGTTACAGGTTCAGACCTGGAAAGAAAAGCCCCTAAAGTGTCTCTTCTTGACCCACTGGAGGGAAGCAGCGTGGAAAGCTCAGGGCACACAAAGTCAGTGTTGCCCCACTTTAAAACCTGAATTCTTCTCAAGTCTGTGCAGTTGGATAATGAGCTCTAAGCCCCTGGAATGCAGCTTGGATTTCCAAATACTAATGAGGTTTCCTGGTATTAGCTGCAGCACCCTAGTGTACATTTTATCTCAGACACACTTATTCTTCCCCTCCACATCCCTGCAGCTGCAGCTGAACACAGGATTTCAACTCACTTTGGGTCAGAATCTACCAGGAGTCGCTTTTTTCTCTCATAGTCCCTCTGCTCATTCCACTTCCAGAAGGCTGCAAATTAATTTGGGATTAAAGCTATTACAAAACCCAGTACTGCTGCATAAACCCACAACCTACTGAACAGACAGCAGGTTTGCAAATTATTAATCATCATTTTCAGCCTCCTGGGAGCAGGAAACAGGCTCATTTTACGGGCAGAAGGTAAAAGTTCCTATTTATTCTCCTTTCATTTTTCCTCCTGTTAGCCAAGCTCTCTTACTGAAAGCCTAAACCAAAGTTTTTTACCCTTTGTGATGCTTCAATATATCAGTATCCTGGGGAGAAAACTTCTCCAGAGCCTGACAAATGCTTTTACTCGGTGACTTTTCCCCTGTGCAGGCTGAGAGCTGAGAGGACTTGGGCCAGTGAGGGCACTGCAGAGAAGTGCTCTTTGCCAGGAGGAGGGAGGAGAGGTCAGATGCCACGCTGGCACTCTGAGCATCCCTCCACCAGGTCAGCTGGAGCTGCCCTCCTTACCTCCACAAAGCTCCTCTAAAGGCTCCTCCTTGTTCTTCCATCAGCTGAAACGGGCACAGAGCAAGTGCCCCCACCCCGAGATGCCAAAGGGACTCACCCTGGTTGTCCTGCCTGGAAATGCCAACCCTTTTACCTCTGGCACAAAGACACCCAGCTGAGATACCCCAAGGACACACCAAGCTAATGCTGCCATTTATTAGCCTCATGAATATTTCTGAATATTCTGCTCCTTGCACCTAACACTTTCCATGCATTACTGCCCCTGGGAATTTAATGAGCTCTCCACTAAGCCCTGAATTCCCTGAATTCATGCTGGGATATCCATCACACTTGCCACAGCTCCCCTGGTTGGTTTAGGAAAATATTTAAACCTTTGACCCGTGTCTGTTTTCACTGACAGCAATAAAACCCTGCTTAAGTAATCCAGTGAAATGTCCCGAAATCACAGAGTCATGGAATGGTGTGGGCTGGAAGAGACCTTAAAGCTCATCTCCTTCCACCCCCTGCCCTGGGCAGGGACACCTTCCACCAGCCCAGGCTGCTCCAAGCCCCGTCCAACCTGGCCTGGGACACTTCCAGGGATCCAGGGGCAGCCACAGCTCCTCTGGGCACCCTGTGCCAGGGCCTGCCCACCCTCCCAGGCAGGAATTCCTTCCCAATATCCCATCCAAACCTACTTTCCTCTCCTCTGAAACGAACCAGCTGAAGGGCAGAAAATGACATGTAAAGAAATCCCTTTAAACAACAACTTCACACAACATTTTGAGTTTCTTTTAAGGGGGAAGAAAACCCACCAGAAAACAAAGAATCAGGGGCAGATTTCCAGACCTGAGGGGGAAGGAAGTAGAGATGCCAACATTTTATCTGTTCCATGGAGGTAACATCAGTGGGTTGAATGCTTTACTCTGCCCAGGTCTGAATCCTGAATCCTGGAAAGGCAAGAACCCCTTGGCACAGTCTCAGATAAATTTATATGCAAGGAAGCTCCTGCTAACACTGCTTAACTTTACATAACAACCACCTACTGCAGGAAAGAACTGGAGTATGGGCAAGTATTCCTCCCCTAGGCAAGAAAATCAGCATTGCAGATCCATTTGAAGTATATTTTGAAGCCTTCAAAATGAAAATGTTGCCTTTTTCCCAGCCATGGAACTGGGGAGAGGCACCTCCAGTAGCTCTGCCCACCTCCCCTGGGAGCACAAGGGGACCCTTCTGTCCTGCTCACAAACTGTGGGCAGGAACTCCAAGAGGGTGGAAAAGAGAATTAGAAAGTGTTCTTGTCCTCTGTAGTGTTTTCACAGCTGATACACATATATTAAACCATATATATATTAAACCAAGGACTAAATTTACTCACAGAGAGAGTAATCTCTTCTTTTTGTCACTCACTGGTTGAAAACTTCCCATCAACTTCCCTGGGATCTGGAGTTGTTCTCTGCTTTTATGGACCAAGCAGAGTAAGATGGTATTTTGAAGGAATTCCACACTTCTTTTGATGGATGAAAAGGAAATACCACTGGAGGAGTGAAACAATAATCTATGAAGAGACTTTAATGGGAGAACCCAGAGCTTTGGAGAGGAATTGGGTAGGAGAGAGAGCAGATATGGAAAAAGGAGCTAATCCCAATATTACCACAGGGTCAGTCTTCAGAAACAGATCTGAAATAGGGCAGCAGGGCGGGCTGGGAAGACTGAATTCTCCAGGAAACTGTTCTGGAATGGGCTGGAATTGGATACAGAGGCCAGAAGAAAAAACACGCAATGACAGGATTTACCTTTCAAATAACTCCGGGATCTGTGGCTGCAATAAAGAGTAAATAGTTTTAAGAATTCATTGATTTTTAATTCCAACCTAGGGAAGCCCACCTGAAGCAGCTGACCCCGGTCAGGCTGTGGCTTTTCACTTAGATCCACTTCCAGACTCCAGACTCGAGGCAGGTCCCAACCTGAGGTTGAGTTTCACCCACTGCAAAGTTAAAAATGAATGTGCAGAAGAGAAATCTCAGGTCATCATCAGCTGGGGGAAAACCACATTATCCCCCAGCCTTTGATCCAAATTTGGTGAGGCTCAGAGCACCCAGAGAGAGAGAGAGAGAGAAATTTAGGATGTCTCCATGGAATGGAATCTAAAGAAGTCAAGAACCATAAATACATCTTGCACACTCACGTGCTGTAAGTGAGAATTACCTCACTCTTGTTTTGGTTGGGTTTTCTGATTTAATAATTCAGATTTATTCAGGTTTATTCTTTGGCAGCAGGTCCTCAGAAGAATATCTGTGATTTAATCTCTGTCTGTGGGCAGTCTGCAGGTGGGTTGTGATGCTGGAAACCAGAAAGAAAGGGAAAAGGGAAAAGAAGGGGAAATGGAAAAGGGAAAAGGAAAGGACTCGTGCACCATCAGCTGCTAATGGAGGAGGAATGGATTTGCTACATTTCAACCTCTGAAGGTTTTGCATTATATTCCAAGGGTTCAATTCTCTGATGATACATGAAATAAAAGAATTTTTTAAAAATTGTTTCTCTTACTATCACTCTCCCACTCTCAGGCCCACAAACTGAAAACCACAAAAAAACCAACACAATCAGGGAAAGGACAGCAATACTTTTAACATCTGCTCTTGCCCACAGAGGAGATTTTACCCAAGACAAAGGTAAAATAAATTGTACCGTGTTTCTATTTCCATTTGAAGAAGGGGGTCTGCAGATTCCTGCACTGGTTTGTTAACTCTCCATATTTGCAAAGAAATCCCTTGCTCTGGATTTGCTTGGAAATTATTTTTCCTTTCTTTCTTTCTTTCTTTCTCCTTGAAACACCTCCCCTTACACCCAGCAAACGGAGCTGAGCTTGAAATTCAGGTCAGACATTGGAAGCAAAAGCCTCTGTATGAATCCCAAACTTTTTGATTAACATTCCTCAAATTCTCACCATATAAAGTCAGACATATAAATAGAGATGGGGGCTGGGGAGAACCTCTCCAGCTCTCTCCTCCCAGCCCTAAAAGCCTCGTTGGTGCCAAAAGAGCAGCTCTTCAAACATTTTCCTGCCCTTTCCCTGCAAAGCTTTCATTTTGGGGCTCAGTGGATCACACAGGGATTAGAGAAGCTGCAGCACTTGATGCCCTTCAGTGCTCTGGGCCTTCTCTGCCCCTACCTTTGCACCTCCAGTGATATGTAATATTTTGTATTTAAAAAGCTGGTTATAAGCACATTCTGGGAAAATTCTGCACACTTGGTTAGAAAAGGGCCACTCTTTGCTGCTGGTGTTTTGATTCTTTGTCTGGTTTTTGATCAAAGTGTTGCTGCTGGATGATTGGAATGCCAGTTCCCACTTTAACCCAGACACTGCAGCACCACATTAGGAAAATTACCTTCTTTAGGAAAGTGTGATAGGTTTTACCTCCAGAGTTTGGGTGGATTGGTTTGTTTGGCTGTGCAGGCTCTCTTTAATCCCCTTGGTTTGTTCTTGATGAGCTGCCCTGCCCTCAGGCTCAATCAGCAAACCATTTCTGCATCTCTAACTTCCCTTGACTCCCATGGATACCTCAGGACGGGGAACATCCTCAGATGTTTCTCCCAGTTGGAGCCATGCCTTTTTTCATCTTCAGCAGGGGCAGCTGGAACAGCTCTGAACCTCATTCCTCAAAGAGGAATGGACTGATTTCCAATTAAACCACTTTATCAAGTCTTAAAATACTCCATGCAACCACTCACCAGGTTCACAAATACAGCATTGTTGCTTTGAATCCCACAATAATAAGATGTGATGTAAACACCAAGAGAAGCTCTGTCTGAAATGGCCACAAATGTGGAACCCTTGCCCATCATATTTTCCATTTGACATCTTTGTTCTGTGCTTTGTCAAAAAGACATTCATGTCAAATGCTTTTCTGAAATGATATTTTTCAACTCTGTGTCGTTAATTAGAATTTAGAATGCTGATTGTTCCTGAGACACAACACAACCTTTACAGTGATTTCCTTTCAATACTACTCCAGAATTAAATCCCTGGCATTAGGGAGACAAAGGTTATTATCAAAGCTCTCACACAGAATAATAAGCTGATACCAGAAACCTCCTTTTCTGTGAAGTGGAAACAATAATTTTTGGTTGGAATTTTCCATTTACATACAACTGGTCTGAATTAAATGTGGATCACTTACTAAGTAAAATCTGCTCACTGGGGCTGCAGAAAACAAGGATCTTTAGGGAAACCCTTAAGCATGGAAGCAAAGTACAGGGAAAGCATCTGTGGCACTGTTAAAGGGGTCCCAGTTAAGCCAAAACTGTCCAGTCCACAGTGGCCAGACTGCAAAAACCACAAAAGCACTTACACTGTGCTGCACACCTCAGTAAAACCCACAGGAATTCTTATATTCTTCCAGATTTCCGCCTAAAATGGATTATT